TATATATATATATATATTGGATTGATACATTGAACCAACTGAAATCATATTCGTGCGATTTATTGTAACTTGCTTTATGGAGGAAGGAAGAAGTTTTACTAGTTGGTCAGGTCATGATTGTTCCTAATTTGACAAAACGTAACTTTTTCCTTCACAATAAATTCAGTTAAAACAAAAAAATTAAGTAATTTTTTTTTATTAAATAATAATTTTTTTGAAGTTCCAAAGTTTTACGAATTCCTCAGAAATTATAAAAATGAGTTTCACTTCAAAATTAAAACTGTTATCAAATGAAAAACGTATTTCCCGGAGACGAATCAGTCGAGCTTTTTCATCGTAATTTTACTACTTATCCGTAGGAGTTTATTCAAAAAATAAAATTTAATAGCGAACGATATTTGCCGAGTTTTTTTACTGATTTCTACCATTAAATAATTGAAACAATTAAGTAAGTTTAAATACTGTTAAAATTTATATTTAATGCTAAATATATTATTCATCCTTTTCTATATAATTAAAAATGTTAATTTTGTTTCAGAAAATAGTGGTGCAGATAATACTGATCCAGTCAAACCATCCACAAGCAATGGATTAAAACGTGATTTCCGCTCAAAAATGTCAAAGAGTCGATCACGAACAACAAGAGGTGTAACAATAAGAGGTGGAAACTACGACAAAAGTCAAGCTGCTGCCAAAAGTCGAATTGTCAGAATGCTGTTTGTAGTAGTCGTTGAATTCTTTGTTTGCTGGACGCCTCTTTATGTAGTCAATACTTGGGCACTTTTTGATTCCCAAGCCGTCTATTCTTGCTTAGGCTATGTTGGTATGTCTGTTATTCATTTAATGGCTTACATATCGTCTTGCTGTAATCCTCTTACATACTGCTTCATGCACAAGAAATACAGACAAGGTTTTCTAGCTGTCATCGGTTGTAAGAAAAACAGACGATGGTTATTTGGTCACCAAAATAGTGAAAGATCTGGAACCATGGTCAGCGTTTTTAGCACAAGAGCGGGATCAATTAGATCAGGTTAGTATTATGATTATTCTGCGGGGCCGTTTAATAACGAGTACACATATACGTATAAATACAGGTATATTTGTCTAATGGAAGACTAAAAATGGTTATCATAAGAAGTATCAAAATCTGTCTTTGTAACAGATAATTATATGAGGGATTTTTTTTTTTACGAAAAACTTCTATTTCGCCAACTTCTTAAATTTTTTTAATTTGTAACTTTTTTTATAATTGTAAACGGAGCTTTATGGGCTGGTAAAAAAGTTATGCAGATTTTCATATCATTGAAAATTAACTCTAAACATACCGACACTTAATATATACCTATTTCCACCATAGCCGGTC